GTATAGGCCGGAGACATACCCTGTCTGCCCGTATGAGGAGCTACCTTGACTGGCATCAGAAAAAGCGAGGTAGGAAGGATTGACGAGAGATGACGGCGTTCGAAATAGGAGCGTCGGGGAAAGCGCTTTGATCTCCACAAGCAACTTGTTCCCGTTTATAAGATCGGCCACCTTCAAGCGCCCAACGGCTTGCTGAAGGTAGCTGGCTGCGAAAGCCGCTTGCGGGAGAATGCCATGTCCGAGGAAATTGAGACTTCCGGCGAGAGCTTGGTATGAAGTCAACTCTGGAGCGGTGCACTTGTCTTGGTGTCGTCTTCTTCTTTCCTTTGAGACTTCGATCGGAAGAATTTTGTCCACGTACTCTTGCATATTAATGCTTAAAGAGCCGGAAGGCTCCTGGTGGATATGAAGACGATTGAAGATCAAGTCCTTGTTCACGACGTAGCGTCCGACAATGAACCGGCGAGAGATAGCTTCGTGAAATTGATGGATGTTAGGAAGAACGCCAACCACGAGGAAGTCATCGACGACCTTTGCGACCAGTAGGTTTATCGATCCCTCCGCATTGTATTTGGCGAAGAGCTGAAGAAGGCCTGGGACTTGTACGAACCCTTGCGTGGACATCCATTCCTCGGCGACGAGTTGCCATAGGCGTCCGGATTCTACAATTCCATAGGCCGGCTTGAGTATCTTCCAGACTGTTCGAGCAGAAGATACCCAACCTTTCGGGGGTCGGACGTATATGTCCCGGGGAAAGTGGCCAGCTTGCAAGTATGCTCCTTTGATGTCAATGGAGGCAACTGAGAAAGACATTATTGCCGCGACAGAGAGAACGATGCGAATTATTGGGAACTGCGCTGTCGCTGAGTCTTTCCGGACGAATTCTTTGTCTCGATCCCGGTTCCCGTGTGGGACTAGACGACACTTTAGCTTCAGCTTTCCTCCTTCTCCGTCGGTCTTGACTTGGAAGAAGTGGTGGGAAGAAATCACATTGGCATGTCGTGGGAGATCCCCATACGAGACTTCCTTGTATGCCTCGGCTTGTGCGTAGTTTTCTTTCTCCTCAGCTATGGCCTGATCAACTATCCATCGCGGAGCAAATTGGAGTTTGAATTCAGAGGTGGGCTTGTTCCCAACCACTTCCTGAATTTGTTGAAGGACCTTTTGCTTCGACGATGCAAGATGAAAAGGCAGGCTCGACGGAGCTACAACGTCTGTGGTTCCGATGTCTTTTTCCGGCTGTGGGGGCTCATGAGTTGAGTTCAAATCGAGAGTGCTACTCGAAGTTGAGACTGGATACCGTGTTCCAAACAAGGAATTGCAGCGACCGATGGACCTTGTGTTGATGTCCAACAAAGGGTTGTTCAACCTCTTCGGCTTTGAGGATGCTAATAAGCTCTTTGATATGGGGTGGGAAGCCCACAGAGCCTCTTCGGTCCTGAACTCAGAGATGTCCGTCAGATCGCCGGGGGGCTCCAAGTCAGGAAGGCTGTCTACATTCGCCGCCTCCTGCTGCCCTGCAGACTCTTCCGGTCTGCTTGGAGGCGACTTGTCACTCACATTCGGCATCTCTTCCAACTCCGAGAAAAGCGGAGGGGGTGCCGATGTTGGAGGGAACATACCTTCTTCAAAGTCCTCATCAATGACGGAGTACGACCGTGGGAATACGAAGTCCATGTCATCCAACTCGGCAAGTAGAGGGGAGGACGGAGCTTTCCGAACGTCCTCGTATGCCGCTCTTATGGGCTTACCAATGTGATCCTGACGCCTTGAAAGGACGACGAAGTGGGGCTGTGGGTTCCGCACGTACGCGTGTTCCCACGAGCCAAACTTTGGGCCTCTCTTGAAGAAATACACAGGGTCATCACGTAATAACTGGGCGGCTTGAAGCGCTTGTGGACATCGCGACTTGTCGAGGAGCCTCAAAGCTCTTCGTGCCACTTGCTCGTTATGCGCAGTGATGAGATCAGCGGACAGCTTTGCTTGAGGGAGACCAACAAGCGAGGGGGTGTAACCCCGAGTCATCTCGAAGCTGCTCAGTGACTTGCTTCCATATAAGATGTTGCTCAGATACACGGCACGTGAGACCACGTCTTTCCTTTTAACTGAGTCAACACTGCACGCCGAGGAGTTTGATGCATCCTTTAGAAGACGTTGGATAAGCACACGGACAACCGCATTCTTCCGCTCCACGACGCCGAGTTTGTTATGACGTCGGGCTGGACGGGGTTCAAAACGTATTGAGAAGTACCTTAGGGCGTCGGCAAAACGGGAGTTGAAGAACTCGATATCTCCCGATATGATTGATGGTGCACCGTGAACGTTTACCCATGCGACTTCCAATTGCCGAGCTGCTTCGTCCATCTCACGGGTCCGCATCAGGGATGCTACTGAATAACCCGTATGGACATCCACCATATGTAAGATGGGGGCGTTCTCGAACTCCGCACAGAAGAAGAAGTCGAGTTGGACATGGATGTTGAACGAGGCGAGTATTTTCCCAAAGGATATCTTCCGTGATTGGAGTGGGCGGCCTGTTTCTTTGCAGCTAGTGCACTTCTCGACGGCTCTCTGAAGCGCTTGTTTTAGCACAGGAGTCATAACCCCTCCTCGACGACACAGCGTCTCCATGTCTTGAAGGGCAAGGTGTGAATATCCATGAAGCTTGTTGGCAAAGCGACCGGCGATTCTGCCATATCGAAACCTTGCCTTCATGGTTTCTGCCGGCGGGATAGTGGACGCATATGAGACTTCCGTGGAGAAGAACGTCACAAAGGAGGATGTTTTCGACGGAACGACGAGAAGAAATGTGCGAACCGCATCGGGGTCACTCGACATTGTTGGTTCGGTGTATGTCTTGAACGTGAGGCGTTTTGACGAGAGGTTTCTCACTCCTTTTGGAATAACCAAAAGGTTCTCCGGTCCAAGCTGGTACGAACGGTGAAGGATTTCGTTACCCAGAAGAAGGAATCCATCTCCTCTCGTAACGTAGAACGGAATTTTGACTTCCGTTCCACTCATGTCGGTCACAGGAAGGTCCCAAACTCCAATAGTGACCTCGGCGTCGCTACAATTCTTGCCATATCCGTGCAAGAACGGTTCACAGTCTAGCCTTCGAAGTTTGAACGGAATGTTCATGGCAGTGCAGAGGGCTGCGGCGCAAGAAATTCCTCCAACACTTCTGGGACATCCCGGATCAATAATGGGATTTGGATCCGGGATTCTCGGATTGATATCCGAGGAGGCTCCGGGATGGCTGACTAGGCTTGCCTGTTTGACGAGCCGCCGGAGCCTCTCCGAAAAAACGAGGGATGTGCCCCGGAGCCGCCGTCACTGGGGTCTCGGCGCGTCCTCTTTTTCTTAGTGAAGGCGCTAGGTTCTTTGCACTCTGCTGCCCCTCTGTAGTGACCACGCTCTCCGCAGTCATAGCAAATGGACTGGGTCTCGTGATCAGAAGGCAGCTGCCTCTTGCGACTGCCTCGAGATGCGTCACGACGGCTAGAGGGTGGACCCATTCGAGTGTCCTTCTTCTGCCCGTGACGCGAGCCGACTTCAGAGAGTCTGTCGAAGATGCTTGCAGGGCCAGGCTTGCCATGGGTGCCAATGAGAGACTTGACCTTGCGGTCAACTAAGGCTTGGACGTCCTTCATGGAGAACTGAGGAGCATCCATTGACGTTGTCTGGGTCAGATTCCTCAGCACGATCACCGCGTCGTCAAGGTTGAGCCTGCAAGAAGTATGCCGCGGCAGAAAAGAGTCTGCCACTGACGTCTTCGCAGCATTATTCTCTGCAGTCACCTTTAGGTCTTGGACTGCAATGTCCAAGGAGCGGATGAAGCTGATTGTTTGCGATCTGAAGTCGGACAGAGCCTTCTTGTAATCATCGGCCGTGGACTCTGACTCGCGGAGTGGAACGTCAACCTTCTTCAGCTTCTCAGATATCTTGAGGACTTCCTCGAGATGCACCTTGGATACCTTTTCGGTGTCGACGACTGCCGACTCCTCCTTGTTTCGGGCTTCTGCATGCGAAATTAGTTGGAGCTTGGCATTGGTCAACGTTCCCTCCTCTATGTTTGCGTTATTGAGGAGGGTAATCGCCAAAACTTCACCTATCTGCGAAGAAGAAGAAGTGTTGGCGTGCAGCAAGTGCTTGGCTGCCAAACCTCGGAACCTCGAGACGAAGCTGGAGAGCTTCTCGTTCCTGTCTTGGCGACACGAGGTGACCTTCTGGTATGATGCGACGAGCCTTGTGACCATGGCAATCGGTGGGTCTACAGCGACAAGCTCGACGATGGAGAGTGCCGCTTGCACGGGATCATCCATCTGAAGGTAGTCGAGCTGTCCTTTGGACTGGGCTTCATCGACGATTGCCTTCTGAGCTTCCGGAAGGCCGCGCTCATAGAGCGTTCGTCCGAGGAGCTTGAACATCGTCTGAAAAGTGCGATCGGTGCCTTGGTCGTGGGCGACTTTGAGTGAGTCGACCCACTGTCCAACCTTCTTGCGCCAGGCTTCAAGATCGCCATCGGCGGCGAAGAGAGGCGGGTCGAAGAATCCTGATAATTTACTCATCTTTCCCCCTGGGCCCATAACTGTGGGAGAACGGGAACGATGAGGTTAGTAGTAGCCGCGCTCGTCGCACGCAGCGGCGGGGGAAAGGAGTCGCGAGAGCGAGGGGGATGGGGATACTTCGGATGTCGAGTCTCGAGACTTTTCGCCGGCGCTGTCGGAGGGTAGCAAGTTACCCCCGAGGGTCGGTCGGGATACCGCCCTCGGATTTTTATATATCCGGATTTCCCGCCGGCGCGTCGAACGGATAATTTCCCTTTTTCCCAGATTTAGGGCTAACCAAATAAAGTGCAATTTCTATCTTCCCACAGATTTGGTCTGACCGGTGGGGATGTCAATCCGCATCAAATCATCAAAATTTGGTTATTTGGTTATATATTTAATTCTACTGGTGGTGATGCTCCCAGAGCAGAGCATCACCACCGGTAGAATCAAATGACAACAGTTATGCTACAGTCCAACATTCCTTCCTCTACAGTCCAACATTCCTCTACAGTCCAACATCCCTTAATCTATGCCCCCGTCTCAAGCATACCTTTTCCTACACTTTCCGACGTCGACCCCATTCGTCAACCACCTTCCGCCCCCCACCCTCTTCCCCCTCCCCTCTTCTTCCCCCCTCCCCAATTCGCCCCACTCCAGTTCGCCAACAACCCCCCATCCGCTAACATGATCATCCCCGTGCGCTGCTTCACGTGCGGCAAGGTGATTGGCAACAAGTGGCAGATCTACATTGAACTCGTCAAGGAAAGCCTCTCGGAGGGCGAGGCCATGGACCATCTCAAGCTCACGCGATATTGCTGTCGCCGCATGATTCTCACTCACGTCGAGCTGATCGAAAAGTTACTCAATTACAACACCAACGGCGCTCAGTCGAGCGACGCGAGAAGATGATGCCATCTTTCATCGTTGCTCTCGTCACCCCCGCCTTTCTCGTGTCCTGCAACATTGGATGTGTCCGTGTTTAATGCGTCACTCTGGCATCGCGCCGATGCCCGAAAAGGAGTCCTTGTCAAATTGTGGATACTGTATGTACTGCACAATACTACTGTCTCAAACAAAACACCTCGCACGCGTGTTAAAATTCACGACAATCCTCTGCTCTCATCCCTGCCCCTCCTCATGTCCGTCTACCTAACTAGTCCCTCTTACATAGTCATTGGAGAGTCTGATCAAAACTGAGGCTCCTTCCCTGTCGGTACCAACCCACCGCCACTTCCAAGTCCTTCTTAACGCCTTTTCCGGAAAAGTGCAAATTCCCGAGGCACTGCATCGCCGTCAAGTTGCCGCCGTCAGCCGCGTGCCGATAAAATTCAGCAGCCTTGCCAAAATCTTGAGCAACACCGTGTCCATATTCGTGGCAAATCCCAATGTTTAGATACGCGTCTTGGTTTCCACTTTGTGCCGCTTCATGGAACAGACGGAGAGCCTCCACATAATTTTGTTCAACACCGCACCCATCAAAATGCGCAGTGCCAAGTTGCCGAACTGCCTCTGGTTCCGACTCCCGAGCTTTCTCGAACAGTTCTAGCGCCTTTTTAAAATCTTGCTCTACACCCTTCCCGTGATAATAACATGCCCCGAGCTCACATTGAGCTCCAGAATGACCATGTCCAGCTGCTTCCTTGTACAATTCAAACGCCCTTGACACATTCTTGGGCGTTCCGTTGCCTTCCGCGTAGCAATCCGCAAGATTGCACATTGCCTCAATCACTCCGTGCTCTGCTGCCCGTGTATACTGACGAAATGCCTTCTGGTAGTCTTGCTTCACAAACTTTCCTTTCTCGTACAGAATCCCCAGATTGCTTGTGGCCGTCATGTTTCCTCCCTTCTCTGCCTTTCTGTACAAATTTACAGCCTTGGTACCATTCACTTCCACCCCAGTCCCATTCTCATAACAACATCCCAGGCTCATCTGCGCACCTGCACTTCCAGCTTCGGCACCTTTCTGAAAGTATCGAACCGCCGTCTTCATGTTTATCTCGACCCCACTCCCATCTGAGTAGCAGTCCCCAAGCCATCGAAACGCCTCCGCCGCCCCTTCATCTTTTAAAGCCGCCGCTGATCTGAAATGCTGAATGGCCTTCTTGTAGTCTATTTCTACTCCACGCCCGTAAAAATAAAACTCTCCCAGATTGACGTGAGCAAGCGATTTCCTCCCTACTGCACTCTTCCTGTACAAACCAAACGCCTTTTGGTAGTCCTGCGGTACTTCAACGCCATCCCTGTATAAATGCGCAAGCTCAAGGCAAGCACTCGGATCGTTTTTTTTGCATGCCCCCTCGTATAAACGTAGCGCTTCGGAGAGGTTCTTCTCCATTCCATACCCAAAGTAAAAGCACTGTCCGAGGGCCAGTTCCCCCTCGGGACAGCCCAACGCAGCAGATGCTTTGTAAAGCCTCACGGCCTCCTTTGTGCTTTTCTTGACGCCAACCCCTGACTCGTATTTGTATCCAAGAGTAACCATGGCCTTTGGGTTCTTTTGTTCGCATGCCTTCTTCAAGCAGTTTATGGCAATTGTCAACGACCTCTTCACTCCAACCCCGTACTCGTAACACCTTGCCAAACAGAAAGTGGATGGCGAATGCCCGTGTTTTGATGCTGCGTTGAAGAGCTTGAAAGCTTTTACAGGGTCGTGATCGACACCTCGGCCGTCTTCGTACAGTAGTCCCAATCTGTTCATCGCATTCAGGTTATCGCTCTCCGCTGCCTTCTTGAAATATACAGCTGCTCTCATATAATTTCGTGGAACACCTTCTCCGTTCTCAAAACATTGACCGGCACGGAACTGGGCCTGATGATTTCCTGCCTCTGCCGACTTCACGTACATCAGCGCAGCCTGACGTAGATCTCGCGGAGTGCCATGTCCCCTCTCATAACAGAGCGCCAAGTTTAACATTGCACGTTCATTACCACCCGCCGCAGCACTCTCGTATAATCGGAATGCCGTGCTCGTATCCTTAGGAACACCGAGACCATGTTCAGACAGAACACCAAGATTTAACATTGCAGCAGTATGGCCATCCTTGACAGCACGACGATACAGCTCTGCAGCCATGCCGTAGTTCCTCTCAACTCCATGCCCTTGGTGATATGCAATCCCGAGATTCGTTTGGGCTTGGGTGTTTCCCTGGTCGGAAGCCCGTTTGTACCAATCCACAGCGACTCGGAAATCCTTCTTCGTACCCCTCCCGAACTCATGGCACAGACCAATCCTCAGTTGACCCTTTGTATTCCCCTGATTGGCCGCCGATTGGAAGTACATAGCCGCTTCACAGAAGTCCTGGTTGACGCCGCGGCCAAATTCCAAGCAATGGCCATAATTGACTTGAGCGTTCGAATTTCCAGCATCTGCCGCCATCTTAAACATATTAGCAGCCTCTTCGATGCATCCCGGTCGCCCACTTTCTTGCAGGACCTCAGCTTTCCGGTTCATGCGTTCATATTTTGAAGGTTCTACTTTGCTTTTGCTCGGTATCGTTGCTCTATCAGCGCTGAGCTTTTGACCAGTCTTTTGAGCTTGAGAAGGTTCGATAAAGATCGCACCATCGTCATCAAACTTATTTTCATCAACGGCAGCATACGGGAGCTCACTAGATTGATGATTCAGTCCTTGGATAGGCGGCGCATGATTTTCATCTATCACATCTGTATCATTAGATATTCTTGAAAGACCTCTAGCTTCGGTTTTGTCGTCAGAACCTTTGCAGCTTTGATCACGCATGTTATTGCGTAGATCGCTCCGATTTCTCTTTTCTTGGGTCGTTCTGATATGCTTCACAGCAGTTGAAGAGTGTACCAAATCAACCTCCGTACCCGGTGTTAATTGGTCCACTGCGCTTGTCGGTTCACTTCCCGTTTTCTCCTTCGCTCGTCGGTTCGGTAGTGCTCGGCGCTCAACTCCTGGCCCATTGGACGGACTGGAGCTCGATGTGCTTTCGATAACCGCGGTCTTGTCCGGAGCATTCGTCTCTGCCCAGTCGAGGTCGTCTGGATCAAGCTCTGCAATACGGCGTCTTTTCCTTCGACGGATGCTGAGGTCATTCCCGTTCTGCTTCAGGCCAGTATCTGATCCATTTTTGCCGCGGATGGGTGGTTCTGAGTCGGACAACGCACGACAGACATCTTCAAACTCAAAGAAGGCATCTTTTTTTGTGTCACGGTTTGCATCGATGTCGAAGTCATTTAATCCTAGATCATTACCATTTGTCAGGACATTTCCCATCACGTCTGAACCGGACCCGCCATTGGCGGAGACCGACTGTAAAACGTTTTGAAGCTTCTCGACAAGAAAGGCTGCTGTGGGCCGGTCCTTTGGATTCGTGCAAAGACACGATCTGAAGATATTCCGAATGCGCCTGTTTCGGATAGTACTGGCCCATGACCATGCCGAATCCTTCTGACTGTGCATTGATGACCACTTTAGGGAGTTTTGCTCGTGAGTAGGGGATGCCCCTCCCATTAAAAAGCAAGCGAGGACTCCAAGGGACCAAATATCAGATGTGAACCTCGGTTGACCTTCTGCATGCAACTCTGGTGCAATATACATCCAAGACCGAAGGGGAATAGAATCGAGCCAGTCCGGGAAGAGTGCATATCTGAAAAGACTGGTAACGTCAACTTTTGCATGGCCATACCTGACGCCTTTGTCAACTCGGAGGAGAACATTTTCTGGGGTCAGTCCAAGGTGGCAAACGCCTGCCTCGTGAAGGCAGGCCAGAGCTGAGGCCACATCTATCAAAATTCGAAGCTGGGCCTCTAAAGTAGATGCGGGTGCCCTTCTTCTAATGGTTCTCAGGTTGTCGGTCATTAGTTCGGACACAACGACAATGTCGTTCGTGAAGGCAGCATTCTTGGAAACTGGGACCTCACGAGGCCAATGCACGCCATGGACAGCCAGCAGGCAAGGATTGGTAAAAGTGGACACGCGCAGAGCCTCTTGTCGAAAAAAAGGTTCCCTGGCAATGGTGGACATCGATGGACGAAACATCTTTACAGCGACTGCTGTCGGCCACGTTGGTCTGTTGTCCTGGGTGTAGTCGCTTGGGATTTGAAACATGGCCTTGAAGAGGACGGAGTTCTCAGTAGCGCCGAGCATGGTGGGGAAGTTGAGTTCAGAGCTCTTTGTGTCAAATGTGACACACGTACTCATGATCTCCATTTCCGTGGTGAGCGGTTCGTCGCCAACGCCAGGCCATAGCAGTTGCAAAATTGTGGTAATTATGCCGCTGTCTTCTTGGGATATTGCAGACTTGTTGGCTGCATCAATGTACAAGTTGAGGGCGTCGCGGATTGCAACGAAGCGAGTTGCCTCCGGTCGGGAACAAGGGGCAGATGAGATCGGAGGCGGATGGCTGCTTGTGTCTTGCATGTGGTCGCGTATAAAGCCGATGAGCTTGCTAGCAAAAGGAAGCATGCCGATTTCACTGGTCAGCAACGTCTCGATGAAATCGTAGAAGACGGAGAGGGAACGCAATAAGACGCGGAGATTTTCTGCGTTGGGCCCCAGGACAGCGACTTCCTGCAGCGCCTCGGTCGGGACGGAGTCTAAACACAAACAGAGTCTATCACATAGGCGCTGTGAAGCAAGTGGCGGGACGGAGGCCGTGTACAAGCCACGAGTGTCGCATTCTGCGTGGAGATTCTCTGCCTCTTTTTTAAGCTGTTCAATGCGGGCTTGCATGTCTGGTTGTTGTAGACTTTGACGTTGCAGGAGAGTGGTAATTCTGGTGGCAAAGTCGGTGACTTTCTTAAGTGTGAGGCGCCATGGCGCAAGCGAGTCGGGTTGTGTGCGTGCTATAGATGTGTGGGCGGCTAGGATTGAAACCAAAACGGCGCGCAAGTCGCAGTCTGGGGGACATAGACCAACGGCAGTATCTAAGGCGGTGCAAGCAGCGGCAAGTGTATGTTCAAGCGACATTGGTGGGAGACAGTCGAGAAGCGGACCGCATAAATGCGGAAGACGGGAGGTCTTTGCGAGAGCGTAGTGGGTATGCAGCAACACTGCAGTGGTGAGGACACTGTTATCGGAGGCAGGGCGGGGGAGCAAAGAGAAAAGGGAAGTTGCTGAACATCAAGAGGTGGCTTGGAGGAAGGATGAGCAATGACCGCTCTAAGAAGGATCAGAGCGCGGGAAGATGCCCAACTTCTGAGTTTTTTTTTTGAACTTCAACGACAGCGCACCTACTCGGCTTCTAATTATACGTGTCCAACTGCTCGCGATCTGACACGTATTCCACGTATTACGCCACCGCCGACGGCTCAGGGCTGCCCCCTGCTACAGTAGAACGCAACTTACTCCTCACGAAATCCCCTCTTCAGCATCAACCTTTTTAACATCAACCTCCTTAGCATCAACCCCGTTCGTATCAACATCAAATGCGTTGCGGCAGTACTTGAAAGTGCCGTCTGCGGAAGCTCCGCGGCCAAGACTGCAACGTACCAGAATGGACGCTTCTGGTGATGCTGCCCACAAGGCTCATCGCGCGTCCCGCGTGGCAAAAAAGAAGAAGACCAATTCCGGAACAGGTGGAAAGAAGAACGCCGTTGCCAAGCCAGGCGCATTCGCGAGGCGCATTCGCCTATCCGCAGACCGCTCCGAGAAACGCGCATCAAATCCCACAGCTCCGGTCGACCGCACAGGTGGCGATGATGCCCCTCGTGTCGTCGCTGTCGTCGGTCCCAGGGGCGTGGGTAAGAGCACAATTATCAGAAACTTGGTCAAGCATTACTCAAAGAGGTCTATCCCGACCATCACTGGACCTATCACCATTGTTGCAGGCCGGAAGAAGAGGGTTACTTTTCTTGAGGTTGGCCCAGACTTGAGTTCTATGATTGACGCTGCCAAAGTCGCCGACCTCGTACTCCTGGTTATCGATGCTAGTTTTGGGTTCGAAATGGAAACTTTCGAGTTTCTCAATATTTCTGCCGCTCATGGCATGCCCAAGGTCATGGGAGTTCTCACCCATCTTGACGACATTCGCGATGGCAAACAGGTTCGTCGGGCAAAAAAGTCTTTCAAAGATCGCATTTGGGCTGAGCTATATGATGGCGCCAAAGTATTCTACTTGTCCGGTATTACCACTTCTGGAGATTACCTTAATCGTGAAGTGCTCAACCTCGCTCGTTTCATCTCGGTTACGAAATACGCAAATCTACGCTGGCGTGCCGATCATCCATACGTCCTCGCTGATAGAGTGGAAGACATAACCCCGAAGAGCCTTCCGGCACATGCAAATCGTTCAGTCGCTGCGTACGGATATGTGCGGGGCTCTCCACTAAGATTAACATCCGGTGAATGGCGTGTTCATCTTGCAGGCGTCGGCGATTTGTCCGCCAATAATGTTGAAGTTCTTCCGGACCCATGCCCTCCCCCGGAGGTGGCTGCTACTAGCAAAATGGCGGTCAACAATGGACAAGACCCTGAGGCACGAAAGAGAAAACGAAGAGTGTCCGAAAGGGAGCGAATTGTTTATGCTCCGATGGCACCGGAGGTGGACGGCATTTCATATGATCGCGATGCAGTCTACGTTAACCTACCAGCCCAAGGAGTTCGATTCTCTGATAAATCTGTTCTGGTCTCAACTGGGGTTACGGACAACGCGGATGAAATAGGCGGAGGAAATGAGTCGTCGGATGGAGAGGGTGAAAAAATGGTCAAGAGTCTGCAGAAGACTTCCAGTGAAGCTGTTGATCAGAGTTTGCGACGGTCGCAATTGCAACTCGTGCAGGGGGGCAAACGAATTCTGTCTGACAAGTTCAAAGAGGGAAGGTTAAGGAGGAGAGCGGACTTTGCAGGGGGAGATGAAGAAGGAAGCAGTGAAGCTGGTTCAGACAGCGAAGAAGAAGATGACGTTAGCGACGACGAGGGAGACGATTCCAGTGTAGGGTCTTCAGTAGAAGTCAAGAATCAGCCCCCGAAGGACAACGAAGCCGTACATGATTCATCCGACGAAGGCGGCAGTTCTAGTGAAGACGACGATGAGGATGCCACTGCTCGGATCTGGAAAAGCAAAATGTTGGACAATGCTGCAGCGAACTTAAAGATGTCATTGTCGCCATCAAAAGCACTCGCAAAGTACATTTACAAGAAAGATACCAAGAGATCTCAGGACGGAGGAAATGTCACCGACAATGACGAGTCTGATCTCGAAGGCTCTAGTGCAGAAGAAGATGATCATTTTTTTACGCCAAAGCGGAAGAGAAGCCATGCCGAAACCGGGAACAACAAGGGATTGGGGTTCCCGATGAGCGTACTTGACGATATCACGCGTTTACTCCCGAATGCCGCGAATGATTGGATCTCTGATCAGAGCCTGTGTGCCCGCCTTAGACGGCAACGCTTCGGAACTGGCCAGCGCAATGCAAGCGCTGGAGAATTGGGGAACGAAGAGGACGTCGACAGTGTGGTAGACGGAGATTTCGAGGATCTTGAAACTGGACATGTTCATCGGGCGAACGCATCTCCAGTTGTTGCCAACGAAACCGGAGAAGAAAACAACTCGGACAGTGACATTGATGATATCAGAAGACGGAAAGTCCAGCAGAAGGAAGAGTTCAATGCTGAATGGGATAGGCGAGACGGCACGAAAACCCCAGGAGATGAAGACGACAGCGATAGCAAGTCCGGCATCGTTGCGCCGGATAATAGCTCTCGTAAGGCCCGCCGAGGCGCAGCGGAACGTGAGGTGGATCCGCGGAAGGCTGAAAGAGATCGTCTTGACAAGATCAGAAATGAAGAAATGAGCGGACTCGATCCTGAGGCACGTATGGCATTTGAAGGAATTCTACCAGGCCATTACGTTCGACTGGAGCTACAAGATGTTCCCATGGAGTTTGTTAAGTATTTCGACCCTAACTTTCCTGTTGTCATCGGGGGACTGAAGCCATCAAACGATGAGGGAAATACTTTCCTAAGAGCACGAATAAGGCGTCACCGCTTTAAACGTGGTGTACTGAAGTCGACAGATCCGGTCGTGTTCAGCATCGGTTGGCGTCGTTTTCAGTCAGTCCCCGTTTACGACACTGAAGATCAGGGGGGACGCCGACGATTTCTGAAATACACCCCTGAATATTTGCATTGTAACGCAACATTCTGGGGTCCCGCCGTACCACCAGGTGCTGGAGCAATTCTATGTCAATCTCTCGGGAGGGAGCGAGCTGGTTTTCGTATTGCTGGTTCGGGAGTCATCACAGAAGTGAACACTTCGTTTGACATTGTGAAGAAGTTGAAATTGATTGGTGAACCCGTGAAGATTCATAAGAACACTGCATTCATCAAAGGCATGTTTAATAGCGAGCTTGAAGCCTCAAAATACATCGGCGCAACTCTCCGAACAGTAAGTGGTATCAGGGGTACAGTCAAGAAAGCAATGTCCGAAGCGACACAGCGAGCATTCGTTGATCGTGAAGTTGCAAAGAGTCCTGCAGGTACTTTCCGCGCCGGTTTCGAGGATCGAATTTTGCTTAGCGATATCGTGTTTCTGCGGGCATGGGTGCCTGTGGTGGCTCCCAAGTTTTGCAGTATCGCTACAACGCTTTTGGATAAAGAACGGCAAGGAAACGGTACCGGAACATGGCGCATGCGTACAATTCGAGAAGTGCGGGAAGCAAAGCAGCTTCCCATACCTTTAAACAAGGACTCTTTGTACGCACCAATCGAGAGGGCAAAGCCAGTGTTCGCACCGCTGAAAATCCCAAAGAAACTGGAAGGTTCGCTACCTTACGCATCAAAGCCCAAGAACTTCGTCAGTAAGAAGGACAGAAAGCCAAAAGCAGAAAGAAAGGCAGCCATTTCACAAGAACGGGCCTTGGTGCTTGAGCCTGAAGAAAGAAAGCAACAAAAGCTGCTCCAGGCAGTTTACACCATTCGAAACGAAAGAGCAAAGAAAAGGAAGGAGGCAAACCATAAACGACTTCAAAGAAAAACGAAGGAGCTGGACCGTGCAGAAGCTGTGCACCAACAGAGCGCAATAGAGAGAAAAAAGCGGAAATACGCCTTGGAAGGTGCGCAGGAAAATCGCGGCTCAAAGCGACAAAAGAAAGACATAGACGACGAATAAAGTGTTCAGTTCAACTGACATAGAAGTTCTTTCAGAAGCGATAGGGGCTAGCTGCCGGGTCGTGGGTATAGTCTTGTGACGCGGACTTCACACACCCACTGCTCGGTTGTTGACAGCTTGCATTATCAGAAATGCGTACGGGTTGGCCATCTTGGTCTCGAGGCCAAGCTAACCAATGTCTCTTGCCGGCTTGGTCGCATTGAAGCCCAACGATAATACTCGTAGCAACAATCGTTTCCCCAATAGATCCAACATGCATCTTCCATATCCGGAAAATGTCCCTCACTACTCTCTGGTGCAGCTGTCATGCTGAAGATCCGGCATGAACGCCATCTGGTACAGCCTCAACGGCCCTGTAATTTTTCGTCGCAGACTCGATTGCAGAAACCTTCATGCCTGCGACGCGATCCTTTTCCTCGATCTGTGCAAAAACGTTCGCATGAAGACACAATCCCCTTTCACTGTTAGGCATCGTTCGCAAGCTTCGCTATACGATAGCGTGCATCTAGGTACAAAGCGATCCAGTGCAAGCATTTGTCCGTACCTCAAGGCGGACAGAGGCGATCTTCCGAGTCATCGCCTCTGCAACGTTCGTCACATCCGTATGCAACCAATAGAAGCACTGTGCACTTCCCAACGCCGCGCCAACCATAAATGCACCGAGGCGGGAAGGTAGTGCCATTTCGACAGCTGTTTGGAGACTGAACGTTTAGCGGAGCAGGGGGGTTGGTCGGTGGGCATGAAAAGGGCTGGGGACTGCTGGTGACCGGCTTGCGAGACGGTTATTGAAAAAATATGCAGAATTTTTTTAGGTTTTGCTTCTTTTCATTTAGATCTTTCTGCATATCCCGAGGAATCCGCACCCTGTAATATATATCCCCTTTTTTTTTTTGCAGAGGTTGAACATCTCAACACAAGACAGCACCGTTTCACTTTTCAGAGTCGAAAATTTCCATCTTCAAACCCCTCTAACCATTACTGATTTAAGATTGAATAGGTGAGGGGGATTCAAACGCACTTGATATAGTTTTGAGTTTAGTTCCGAATGCCAAACGCCGGACATGAGAAAAGCTGTTACGCCTGACAGACGCCTACAGCAGTTCAGGGAGCCCCATTAATCGTAATGGATATTAAGTTACTTTTTCTGGCGGCAAGTCGGTCAGAATTTATTATTTTCCTTGAATTGGGAGTCATTCTCTGAGCAAGCGAAGTGGTAACAAAGTTCTTTACGCGACGGAGAATACTACAATCACGCTGGCGATCTTTTTCAAGGCAATAGCAGACGATGTTGGACGATTACAAGGTCAAAACACATGTGAATCCAAAAACGGTAAATAGTGGCGATGCAGGGTGATTGTCACTTTTGATTCACTCTACTCATCACTCCTAGCCGCAGGCACGTTCCCTCATACGCAAAAGAAACTATTCTGGATCTACCTTTTATAACTTGTATCTGACCTCAAGCTGTGAATTAGAGAGCTGGAGCGATTGCTTAAGAATGGAAACGAGACTAGGCTATAGACTTCACAAAAGGTACACATGTTGAAATGTGGATATCTCTACGGTAAAACGCCCATCTTTTTAAGTGCACTGCATCTTCCCTTCAACCGTTCATGTTCGAATCTATTTTAACACTGCAGACGTACTGGCCCATTCAGTTTCCATTGAGATCAATTCCAAGTCGAGTTTTTTAGGCAGGCCCATCAAATGAGGAGATTGAATACTAAATCTACTGAAGGCTTCTTCATTTATCCAACGTGCGGTGAAAACTTTACTGCAAGTGTTTCATGATACAATGCCATTCATGTTTCTTAAGCTTCGGAGGCACCGATTTTTTTTTTTTGCATAAACATATTCACAGGTTCAAACATTATTATGCCCTCCGAAAATTCCCTCGAAGCCAGATGGTCCAATTTTTAAAACAGAATTCTTATTTGTAATGAGCACTGTGATCTCTCTCCCATTCTGATGTTTTCCGAGCTCCAGTGCAAGTCAAATTTTGAAAAGAGATTCATGCGCCCTTCGAAAGTGGGGCTTGATTACTGTCTTGCTGTCCAGAAGCACGTTCCTAGTAGGACTGATATTTTGTCAGAGGTACAATATCAATTCAATTCCATCACCGACGTGGATTTGTTGGCAAAGAGCAGAGTTAAAACTGAGAAACATATAGACAAGCGACTGGTAATTTCCGAACCACCTTGAATGAAGATTCTTGGCATCCATGTATAAACTGACGGTAGATCCAAGAGGATATATAAATATAGTCAGCAAAAAGCGAACTTGTACCACCTCATAGAAATGTTTCCATAGTATTGAAGAAAACCCTGCTGCTTTACAATTGAACTCGCTATTCTCAATCTCGTGATTCTTTGGAAACAGTTCAACTTCTTCAAACTGTGACTCAGTTCTCCTCAGTTGCTTCTACGTCTAGAAGACGGAGCACGATTTGCCAAAACGATAAGCACAAAGAATGGTTTTGTACACGGGCTTTACTGCTTTTAAGAGGACAATTAACTTTTGTCTTGACCAGGCAGCGCTGTTGACGAAATCATTCTACCTTTCCAATACGGAGGCATCGGCTGGCTGTTCGATTTCAGAACCTGCAGACAATGCTCAAATCTGCGGCCTGATTTCGATTTCGGATGGAGTGCGTGGTCTGAGCATTGTGAAAAGCAATGACATCAAAGCTCCTTCCCTCCGAACCAGACTGGAACATGGTCAGGAGAGAAGCAGATGTGAAGCAAGAGGAAGGAAGGCAAAGACGGTCAGCTTGAAAGACATCAACGGAGTATCGGACTCTCACCGAAAGGATGTTCCCAGAAAGAGCCGGCCTTCTTGTCCGATATGTATGGGGCAACTTGAGAGGGATGCATGCAGCCTCCCAAGCTGTGGGCATGTGTACTGCAGGGCATGCATTCAGGAGTACTTAATGCGTGTGGCAACGGAGACGAAGGCATATCCGATACCGTGCCCAGAGTGCAGACTGGGTATGGAAGCTGGATTTTGTCTTTCTCTCTTTCCCATCGGAACGCATATCTACGAGCGTCTTGAAGATCTCATTGTAGAACGGGTGTACTACAACCGCATCCGATACTGCTCGAATCCATCATGCGCCACGCCTTTCGACTGGGTTCAGGATACGCGCACCCGTAGCTGTCCGGAGGAGTTCAAAATTACTTGCGTATTCTGTAAAACTCCAACTTGTGTCAATTGCAAGGAAGGGTGGCATGACAACAAGACTTGCGATACAGTCTTGTCGGAAAAGAAACGGGCGACTTTTTTCCGTCTCGCACTTCAGAACGAATGGCAGGGATGTCCCAAATGCGGATTGCTCATTGAGCGACATTCAGGGTACTGCAATTTCGTCAGGTGCAGATGTGGATGTGGTTTCTGTCACAAATGCGGAGTGGAATATCGGCCTGAGGTTATTGGAGATAGAAGCCTTCACGGACAGCCGAGGTGTCATTGTGTGATGTTCGGATAGAATAACTCAACTGGATCTCAATAGTTCAAATGTGAAGTAGGATAAGACCCAACAAGTATGACGGTCTTGACTGCGCGGAGCAGGTGCTGGCAACTATTTATTAAATGGACAGTCGTCTTGGAACGTCATCAGAAGTGATGGAAAAACTTGATTATTTACAACGACAGTGTTTTCGCTTTAGTGCTTCGTATTTCGAACAATGAAAACTTTGTCAGACTTTCACTCTTCCCCAAACAAAGCGGAATCCCATGCATTCCGCGGGAAATGCACACCACCAAAGACGTCGAGCCGTTCTTCGTTGTCCTTTCCGTAGGGCGGGGTGTGGGAAAGCAAATTCAGACTTTCCGTGTGATTGTCATATGTTATCAGGGACGTCTCTCACCCACTACTCAAAAAGGTGAACACTGCGGCTGGACGAGTTTAAAAATGTTGCTTGCCCTTCAGTTTGCGGCGAAATGGAATATGTACGAGTAAAGTTCATGCAATGGGCGAACTTCCTCCACGGAGAGGGGCACATAGGCCAAAGCGTCAATAAATATATCAACATATTCCCCACCAAGGGTTTTTGATGGAGAATTTTTTTTTCTTCTTGCAGATTTTTTGTTGTTCTTCTTTAGCACTGTGCTGTCTGTTCTCTCATTGAGAGTCCATACCAACCAGACAGCAAAATTCATAGACTCTCGCCCTAGACCCTTGTTTTCAAGTCGATGCGACCTCCAGAAGTGATGTACAGAGTCGAGGAGAAAGCGTTCCCTTCTTCAGCCGCTCATAGTAGTGGATGTCAAGTCATAGAACGCGTGAGTACGCGTGAGGGAAGCACAGCAGGGGCTCATTCTTCGCCTCAAACCATGGACAAACGTTTAAAACCAACGAGAAAATCTGGACCGTGGGCCTCTTTTATCCGGCATGGAAAGAATGCCTTGCAGGGAAGACACATGAGATTGTTCCCCCAAATTGCGCTTGTGATGCTGATTGCATGTAGTATACGAGCAAGGGACTCATTCTATCGTTTGAGTTCCACCCCAGCCGCTTTGCAACCTCAAAAAGGGAAGCACAAACATATGCACAAAGGTGTGAACGTTTCTCAAGTTGTTCCAGTTCCCTCCCACTTCAATCGCTTTAATTCTCCATGGTACGTACCTCCCCGCGTTCAAGTACGAAGCCTAGTCGAGTCTCGAAACCGAATTTTATATTCGCCGCTACGGGAATCGGCTAGTGACGGAATTGGTCATGCATTTGGGATCATGAACGCAGAGGTCGGCGCTGCCCTTCGCTTAGGGTTGTCATATTCACATCGGATAGCTTCTTATGGGTCAATTTCCAAAATCGATAAGAATGCCGTCGAAGATTTCTTTGGGTGGGGCTTTGGAGAGATAGAGCGCAGCGCTTATCGAGAAACATTTTGCGCTTCTTCCTTCGACGGGTTTTACGCGGCCTGTCAAACGTGTGAGCGTACTGTGACAAACAAATCGTTTCCACGCATTCAGCCGAGGAGGGTGGTACAAATTCCAGCTAATCTCACTTATAGTCGTCGGCTCTGTGGAGAAACAGACCTAGATGAGGTGAAAATGCGATGTGCTCTAGATGTGAGGGAGTTCGTTCGGCGGAACAACGAACCGAACACTATTTTCCAAATGCCCTTAGAAACATGTGCACAATCACCAGTTGACCGATATCCGGATCCCGTCACTAAAGCTTTCTTTTTCCACAAGTATTGGGACCTACATGGACGTGTAAACGCAATACCGCGGCCAAAGGCAGCGTTACCGAATGATCAAGGTAGTTCGGGAGGCCGTGCCTCGTTTGATCGCTTCCGTATACCACATCCTTCACACCGAGCACGCCGCGTTGTAGCCTTTTGGGAAGATCATATGATAATTGCCGTGCACGCAAGGAGAGGCGATTTTTTTGAGGTCAAGCGAGACATGGTGTCTTGCAAAGCATTTGGAGTTTCGATTCGTGAGACTATGCGTATCGTTCAAAACCAAGGAGGTGTGTTTTCACACCTGCCCGTGGCAATTTATATGTACTCTGAGGGCCGAGCCAAACCAGGAATCGCCCACATGGGCCACGATATACGAAAAATGACGCGGGACTTTGTCGACTCTGATGGCAAGGTTCGAGATGCGAAGTGGGTGGAAGCGATGATACGGGGTGTCGGAAAAGACTCGTTCGAGTTCAAAAATGGTCTAGAGGTCCATCTGAGAATAGCGACGGACACTCTGCAGTCGATGCATGAAATGGTGGCGGCGGATGTATTTTTCGGGAGCCATTCTGCGCTGGGGCGATACGTGGTTGGAACGTTGTTTCGAGGTGGTTTGCATCTGCTGCCGCAGAAGGCAATCATTAAGCCGTTTGATTGGCGTTGTTGCACAGTACCTTTTTCTTCGAAGAGTGGAACACTACACGGACCACAACATGCTGTCGAGTACTGGAAGGCGTATGCTCGTGCGAACGAGAACTCGGTAATGAAGGTGTGGCGGTCAAGGCGGAGACGAAGAACTTCGCCTCGAGAATAGCCTTTTTATTATGTATACAGTAAATTGCAGGCATCTGCCGAGGTCCACTAATATTGGTATGATTGCAGTCTGGAGGGTCCGAGTGGCGTGGCACAGGGCGTGCACGTTTATTTCCTTGGTCAAAACTTATATTAAGCCTTTGAAGCCAGAACTCTGTACTCTAAGGGATCCAAACTGAGAGGGATTCTACAAGAGAACTAAGATAAGCACAAGTTCAAGAACGACAAGCAAAGTTGTGCGATTCTTCTACACACGTTGAGGCCACCTACAAAAAGGGCCCTAATCCGTGTTGACGTTTTGAACAGTTACTGCTGGATAAATACGGTTTGCACAAACTATTTCAATCCTTGACAATCGTGGTCTGCGAATACCAATGCGCGAGCGCCTCCGGGCACTCCTTCTCGATATGTGCTTCGAAAGCGGCAAGGTCAACGAACGGCGCCTTGCACGACGGGCAAGTCAAGACCTCAATATTGTCTGCCGAATTCTCATCGGGGCACGTAGTGTCCTTCTTGGGACTTGCGACGACCAATTTCCCGTCCTCCGGAAACACGACAGCGATCGGATGCCGCTCCTCGACATGCCTTTCATACTCCTGCACGCTCTGGAACCGCACGCCGTGGCACGGCGGGGTAGAGCACGTCGGATGGCACTCATGCACCGCACCAGCGCGTCCGTAGTTGCGATGGCACAGCCTGCAAAAGGCGTGTTTTCCCATGGCCTGCAAGGCGAGCTCCTTTGCCTTTCTGACCGGGGAGGACAAGGCGTGCGTGGCGCTGCGCACGTGGAGCACGACGGGGTGGTCGCCGTGCTCGGCGACGAGGTCTGCGACGGGGCGCCAGACGTTGTCGGCGCGGCGGGCCTTGACGCGGTCGCGCCACGAGTTGGCGTGGCCGTTGAAGTGGTCCGCGACGTCCTTGTCGTCGAGGACGATCTCGACGGGGTGAGCGGGGAGCGAGTGGCTTAGGCGGATGGCGTGCGCGAGGGCGGCGATGGAGGCGGCGCGGCGCGATTGGTGGGGCGACTGGAGTGGCTCCGAGACGTGGGTGCGGAGGGCGTTGGCGGGGGCGTCGGAGGGGGCGTCGACGTAGACGCCGTAAGACGCGGCGCAAGCGTGGCGCGGGGAGGCCGGGGGGGTGGTGGTGGGAGTGGTGGACGGTTTGTAGGCGGGGGAGGCGTAGATGGAGATGGGGTTGGTGCGCGAGCGGCGCACGGAAGGGTGGAGGTGGTGCGGGGATCGCGGGGACGGGGACGGGGACGGGGTGGGTTGGGGTTGATGGGAAGACATTTTGGTGAGAGTTGTTGAACGAGAGCGGAGGGTTGGGGAGGAGGTAGAGTTGGAGAGGAGGTGGAGAGGAGGTAGGAAGGTTTTAAATAGAGGGGGGTTTGTTCGTTGGAAGTGAATATTACTCTCTCTTTGCAAGCGTCAGATCAGACCATGGGGTTTGCGTCGGGAGATGTGGGAAAAATAAGGGTTGGAGTCCGGTTTAAATTTGGTGCTGACAAGACGGGCTGGATCTGACACGGCGGTAACGTTTGGCGTAGGGCGGGGTTTTGATCCATGCAGGTTGCAGCTGTAAGGCGCGGGAGCCAATTACAAAGCGCGGCTGGCTGTTTTGGTACCTTCCACGGGCCGCAGAAGCCCAGATCATATCACACGTGTACCCGTGTTTTGGCACTGATGGTCGAAAATTTGCAGGTTGCGTGTGGCAAGGGCCGGAAATTGCATATCCATTTGCATCGGGGCTAATCATTGGTTACATTGTGCCACGATCGGAATGCAGACACCTTCCCGCGTTTCCGTCCCGTCAGCTGTAAGTTGTCCGTAAGGTGTACACAGCTGTGTACACCTTTCGCACAACTTACAGGCCTTTGCATCCCCTTTCCGTCCCATTCCACTCGCCGCGCGACTCTTCTCATCGCCAGTGCCGTACCCAACAGTGGGACATACTGTACGTGTCGGAACAGGTGGGGAACCAAATCTTTCACGAAAATGTTGAAACTGTTTTTTAATTAAATACAGTATTGCCCCAACAGTGGGACACACGTGTCAGAGCAAGTGGAACCAAATCTTTCACTAAACATGTAAAATGTTGAAACTGTTTTAAATATTGCCCGAAACCGAGACTTGTCGCCTCTCATAACGCGCCCAACCTTAACTCTGCTCCTCCTCCCCGCATCCTGCGATGCACGCCATGCCGCGCCTGCCCGCCTTCCTGCCCGCCTTCCTGCCCACCATCTTCTGCGTGCCCCGCCGCGCCTGCGCCACCACCTGCCCGCGCTCTTGCTCCCCAACGGGCGCAGCGAAGTGGGCTCCGCACACGCCCAAAATGGCATCGGGCCCTTCCTCGGCCGCCGCCCCGACGCGGTGCGGCTGGTCGCTCTCGGGGGACGAGGACTACATCTCGTACCACGACTCGGAGTGGGGCGAGCCGGTGTACTGCGACCGAGCGATGTTCGAGCACCTGCTGCTGGAGACGTTCCAGGCGGGGCTGAGCTGGGCGCTGATCCTGCGGCGGCGCGAGGCGTTCCGGGCGGCGTTCCACGGGTTCGACGCCTGGCGCGTGAGCGAGATGACGGAGGCGGACGTGGCGCGGCTGGCGGCGGACCGGGCGATCGTGCGGCACGAGGGCAAGATCCGGGCGGCGATCGGCAACGCGCGGGCGGTGGTGAGGATGCGCGAGGACGAGGGGCTCGGGCTCGCAGAATACTTCTGGCGGTGGGTCGGGTTTGTGCAGGCGCAAGGCACGGCGAGGGAGCAGAGCGAGATGAGGAGCGAGAGTGAGGTGTCGAGGAGCATTGCCCGGGACTTGAAGAGGAGGGGGTGTAAGTTTGTCGGGGCGACTACTATGTACGCGCACATGCAGGCGACGGGCGTTGTGAACGACCACGTGGTCGGGTGCGAGAGGTACGCGGAGGTGGGGAAGCGGGTATGGGGTAGGGAGGAGTGGGCGAGGGTCGGGGTGGACGTGGGGGTACTGGGGGACGGGCGGGCGTTTGCGGAGAGGATGGAGGAGGCGGCGAGGGCGGAGAAGAAGGAGAAGAAGGAGAAGAAGAAGACGAAGAAGACGAAGGAGAACGAGGAGAAGAAGGAGACGAAGGAGACGAAGGAGACGAAGGAAAAGAAGGGGAGGGTGAAGGGGGAGGGGAAATGGAACGGGGTGCGGCGTAGCGGGGAGATGGGGAAGGCGCGAGGAGGGGAGCCGCAGACGAAGAGGAGGAGAAGCAAGAGGTTGGCTGGCGAGGAGGCGTGATGGGGCAATGGATGCCGCTTCCTTGTCCGCGTGGCCACGTTTCCCAGGCCCTTTGATCCGGGAGTTGATCTGCCCTGGGCAGAGTGTACTGACCGACTAGGACAGGGTGTCCGATCGCAGCCCGTAGCGAGAGTAGTGTCTCGACGACAAGTGACCTCATATGAGGCTACTTTTCAACTTTATTTTTCTCGACTTGTGCTTGTTCAACAAGGAGGAAAAAGATACTCTCGCCACCTCAGTTGATTTGTGTGTTGCGGAAGGATGGAGTTTGGTGAGACTTGCACGTCTTTTCCAGCTACTTTAAAATGCCTGAAATAGAAGCCTTTTTGACTAACCTCAAAACGTTATGTGTTGCTACCTTCGAAACCAAAACGCCTCTTTAAAATGTCAACCGGCGATTGAAGCTTCATTGGATTCTTACTCTCTCTGTGTATTCACAACTGCTATTCCAATTTTTTGCAATATGTTATTGCCGAGGGCATGTAAAGTTTATACTTTATAAAGTTTCGATTTAACGCATATACGGTATATATATATTGTATATATTGTATATATACGAGCTAGTGTCTATCCGACCAAGCGTTATCATAACACAAGAATCTGCGAATTTCTTTTCAACTTTGATGTTCACGGTTTCTATAAAATTACTGTAGGTTAATGAAAAATGCTTACTGTAAGCCAAATATTCTTTTGAACACCTTTATGTGCACCAATGAGTTGGGTTTCGCTAGAATCGACAAGCAAGTGCTTTACCTGTAATAGTGATGGCCTTTTGGTTGCAAAAACACACAAGTGAAATCCCGCGTTCAGTTGTCTAGAAAAAAATAAAATAAAATAACGGTTGTCCTCATACGAGGACTAACGGTCCGATACACTAACTAGCGGCGACGAAATGAAGACGGCTAGTTTCCATGAGTTGCTCATGTGCAGGACGTGAGTCGTGCGACTCCAAATTCGTCCGTCTCTTTTTACAGTACCCTTGGTACTGCAGACAGCCCGTTACTGTGTTCGGCCTATACTGTACGGGGCATGTCTCGGGGGTGACGTCATGCTGTATGAGCACAGTTGCAACGCGTTTCCGATAACAACGACAGGACGACAGGCACACTCCCTCAAACGATTGCATAATTTTTCACCACTACACCACACATCCCTACCACCATAGCAGCGACCGCATCACCCTAATAGCTAGCGCAATTGACGGGCTTGCCCGCCGGCAAGAAGCGCTCCGTCGTAAGCAGCTCCGGCGACCCGCCCTGGCTCCCGCTACCGGACGGGATAAAGATCTGGCCGCACGTGCACTTGGCCACGGCAAGCCCCGAGCCGTGCCTCTTCATGACCATCCTGGGGCCCTCCGTCCATCGAGACCCGTCGAACACATGCACGCGGTTGGACGCGTCGCCGGAGCCCTCGCCGCCCGCGATCATCATGCCGCCGCCGCAGATGGCGCCCGTATTGGCGCCGGCGCGCGGCATAGGGAAGTCGGCCTTCTTGACCCACTTCCTAGTAGCGAAACTGTAGCACCACGTGGCGGCCTTGTTCTCGTTGAAGAAGTTGCGCGCGCCGCCGTCGCGGCCGCCGGCCACGCACAGCTGCCCCTTGACGAGGGCGCCGCCGGTGTGGTCGCGCGGCGAGGGCATGGTGGGGAGGTTTGTGCGCCACGAGTTGGACGCGATGGAGTAGGCGTCCATCCATCCGAAGGAGGTGGCGTGCCCGCCGTGTCCGCCGCGGTTGCCGGCGACGACGTAGATGACGCCGTTGCGCAGGACGGCGGCGGCGCCGCCGCGGCGGCGGCTCTCCGGCAGCGGGGCGCGCGTGGACCAGCGATCGGCGGCGACGTCGTAGACGTAGAACTTGTCTGCGTTGCGCTCGAAAGGAAATCCGCCAGTCCACGAGGTGGGGATGTAGACGCGGGAGCCGACGACGACGCACTGCATGTGGTGGATCTCGACGCCGGGGCCGGGTCCGTCGCGGTTGGACCACGCGCGTGTCTTGGGGTTGTACACGCTGACGGGCTTGTTCGCGCCGCGTCCGCCGAGCAGG